AATGCGTTGTTGAGCGTTTCTGCGTGCATATCTGTCGTAGCTAAAAATTTGAAGTGCTAAAAAAACTCCCTAAAAAGGTTTCTTTTTTGTTAAGAAGAAGGGTTTCTTTTTTTTTAGGATGAAGGGTTTTTCTTTTAATAAAAGAAAAAAGAAACTTTCTTTAAGGACTCTTGAGACAGGGGGAACAATTTCATCGTTGTACTCTTATCTATTGACAGCGCTACTGACAGCATTTCCACTCCTCCTGTTTCTGAGCTCAGCACATCCGATAATTTTGTACAGGCGTTCGTTTGGGCCGCAGGCATCTTCCTGCTGATTTTCCAACGTTCTTTTAAGACTGCTTAGTTACCATTTAGTAATTAATTTTGTCCATCTTTTGTCTTTCATTCTCTCCACACGATCAACTTAGCTTTTTCTTTCTGGCATATATTTTCTTAGTGACTTTACAGAAAAATTCGCATTCCCAGTTTAAAAGAACGCATGAAATCTTTCATTCAATTATAATTTATAAGTTTGGTCTCCCAACTATGCAGCTGGCAGTTTTTCCAGTTCCTTTGACCGGTGTTGCATAGTCTGCTGACGATTTTGCTTTTAAAAAGTGTAATTAATGGAAAAGTATCACTGCAATAATCGAATAGTACCTTTCCTGTTATGCTAATTTTAGATTATTTTTCGATAATTTGTTATTTTTCTATTTATGCGATAATGCACTGCTATAACTATACGTTGATGTACCGCTAATCATTTTAGAGAATTGGAAAAATTACAGCTAAAAAAATCTTGTTGCCATTAGCGAATTCTATAGATTTTTATGACAATCGTTGATTTTGTTTTTTTTTCAGAGGAACTGTTGAAGATGATATTGATGTTGACGTGGAATGCGTGCAACTGCTTCGTGAGAATGCTTTTGTCTGGACAATGAATTGGGCTCAGCGAGTTGCTTCCGATATATACAAATGTGCATCGCATGCGCCTTTTGCCGCTCTCACATCTTTCTCAAGGCTCGCTCTTTCAAGATTTATAGTATTTATGCTGGAAGCAGCGAGTAGGACTGTTTTCTTGCCGATGGATAAGTACGAATTCATCAGTGAGGCCACCGATCCCTCTACAATTCGCTCAGTTTTTTGATGACAAATGGTTACGACGAGGTTACGACGATGTTAGAATGAATGACGGCGAAGTTTGAGCGATAAGACGGACGAGACTGTTCGGACGATGATGATGTTGCCGACTGTGCTTGGTGGAGACGCCGGAATAACCAAACAAACTTTATCAACACAAAACAAAGGCGACAGTCGAAATTTGGATCGATTGGGCTAAGGAGGAAATGCAGTGCTTCCGTTGCCGATGGAGAACACGTTGCAGAACTCTTGAATTACAACACTCAACACTGAACTTTACAACAAAATCGCAAGCTTATATACTTATCACCAAGGGCGGAACAGATCAGAGGGGACAGAGAGGTTGATCTGCGATTCGATTCTGGATTGCTCTTTGCTTTTCCTGCGCACCATCCTTTGCCCTCTTTACAAAATTGATACTGGCACATGCTGTTCTAATTCTCAGGCATGAGCCAGGATGTCGAAACAGCCATCAGCTTGCTTGTAAGTAACCCTCAGAGGGAAAGGCAGTGGACAGGTCTTGTTAGTCTATGGTTGTTGTCAGTATTTGCTACCACTCAGGTGCATTTGAGTGCCCCCGCCCATCGTAGGAAATGAATGTGAAGGGATTTTTTGACATTTTATGATATTTGTTTGGAGTTTAAAACCCGGTTTTATTTTGATTTCTTTCTAATTGGCACTTTTTGCAGGGCAGCGTTTCTTCTGTATGTCGGTGGCAGGCATGTTCATCATACGGCATGCTGCGCTTTATGGGATCATAAATCAACAAAAGCAATTATGGCTTTCTCAAATGTTACCTCATTTCTGATAACAAAATATGGTACTCGCTGTAATGAACCGATGCTAGCGCTTTGTAAGTTGAATGATTTGTAAGGGTTAAAATTTTCACGATATTTTACTTATTTGGTGAGCCAGAAGCATTGGGAGTCAAAATTCTTCCGGTATTCCACTCAGTAAAAGTTTTGGGTAGTTTGAGTCAAGTTTTTTCGAAATTTTAATCTCAGTCGTAGATACTTGAAGGTCAAAATTTCCCCTGTATTTCGTCCTCAGTGAAATTCATAAATTCTCGGGAATAGCCTTTGTGATAGAACTTTTCAACAGCGCCTCTCTACACATTAATTGAGGATTAATTAGCGGTTGTAGAAATAGAAGAATAGAAGAATTCACTTGAATGTCATGTGTTTGAAGACATTTTATGACGCAGTCTGTGTTTCATCCCCAAAGCTGTATGCACAGACCGAACAGTGCATGCGGGTAGGAGTGGGAATCGTCAGTACAGCCTCCTACCCGCCATGTTTCGAATAGTCATGTGTCTAATTTGCAAGGCAGGTGACAGGAAGAAATAGATGTGAGTGAAGGGATAAACAAAGTGAGAAAGGAAGTAAAGAAGAGAAATTAAATCGTGAAAGAATAAGC